AGGAGAATTGATGCCTTTGAGTTGTGGTGCTAGAGAAGAGTATTGAATTTACCATGGACTGCCAAGAAAACAAACAGATTCATCCTGGAGAGGGTTAAATCAGGCTGCTCCTTGGAGGCAAGGATTCTGGGGCTTCGTCTGACATAGTTTGGACATGCTGTAAGGACGGACAGGTCCTTCAAGAGGGACATCACGCTTGGGAGGGTGGAGGGACAGCACAAGAGGGGAAGACCCTCTATGAGGTAGATTAGTTCAGTGACTGGGGTGATCGGGATGGGTGTGTCAAAGGTAGTGCGATTGGCAAAGGATAGAGCAGGGTTTAGGGTTGTTGTACATAGGGTCGCTATGAGTCACAAGCAACTCAACGACACATAACAACAACAATGATGCATAATCATACATTTCTTTCGGACAGTTCTTCCCCTCATCTGTTGTAATGCAGTGTTCATTATCTATCTACTCTTTCCCAATTCTCTCCCCAACCCCCTTCCATGCCTATCCTATTTTATAACGCTGGTGTTATGCAGTATTTGTCCTTTCGTGACTGAGATATTACACTCAGGATCATGTCCTCCAGGCTTGCCCAAGTTTTGTAATGATTTACTAGTTAATTGTTTTCAATGCTGTGAAGTATTCTATTTGGCTAATTCCTCCCTTCTGTTTTCTTTTAGGGCATTTTGTTTGTTCTTCTAACTTCTTGAGTTTAGTAATTAGCTCTTTAACTTTTATTATTTCCTTCTTACATATACATTTGTTGGGGTTTTTGTTTTTAAAATTTTATACTGATTTTATTTACAAAGTTCAAATATATTGTTTTCACACAAGAGCGTTCCCATTTCCTTCATCTCCACACACCCATCAAATTGGGCGACCCTATGATTAACACCACCCCCCCATTGCTGCCTATCCTCATTTCTCTGCTTCCGCCTTGGATCTTCATGCTCATTCTACAATAATGGTTTGTACCATAATTTTTTAATCCATTCTTTTGTTGACAGGCACTTGGGTTGCTTTCATCTCTTTCCTATTGTGAATAATGTGGTAATAAACATAGGTGTGCATACATCTGTTTTCTTTAGGGTATATTCCCAGTAGTGGAACTGCTGAATCAAATGGTATTTCTATTTCCAACTTTTTAAAAAAATATTTATTATTAATTTCAATGAAAATTTACAGAGACTTTGGATTTCCATTCATTCATTATTGTCTATTTCCAACTTTTTAAGGAATTGCCAAACAGACTTCCATTTTACATTGTACCATTTTACATTCCTATCAGCAGTGAATAAGAGTTCCAGTCTCTCACAACCTTGCCAGCATTTGTTGTTGTTTGCTGCTCTGTTGAACTTTGCTATTGTTGCTGGGTATTTACTTCCTTTGAAAATGATTTAAGTATTTCCTGTCTGAAAACCAAGGAGGCAAAACCCTTACTGCCTTCAAATCCTGTCATCCATATGTAGGTTTTCAACATTAGTAAACCATAGGTTGATATATTTGTTAGTGAAACTGTTATGAATATAGGCTTAGCTCTAATATTATATGACCTTTTGACAAGATGAGGAGAAATCAATGCATTCAATAATTTCTCTTACAAAAGTGATAATTGATGTAAGAGATAAAATGTTATGATAGTTGCATTTGCAATCCATTCTGCTAAGATCAGTAGCAGATTAAATGGTTTATTGGTAAGGAATTGTGTTGCCAATGCAAAGATGATTGTTGTTATATGCCAACCAGTTGCCTGCAATTTATTGTGATCTTATGTACAATAGCTCTGAAGCCTGCCCTATCCAGGTGAATCTCACTGACTGAAAAATCTACCTCCATTGTCCCAGTTACAGTGTCAATCCATTTCATCTAGGGTCTTCCTCTCCTGTGCTGTCCCTCTGCCATTCCAAGCATGAAGTCCCTCTCCAGGGACTGGTCCCTCCTGGCCACATGCCCAAAGTTTGTGAGACAGAACTTCAAAATCCTTGCCTCCAAGGAGCAGCCTGGATAGGATACAC